CAAATACCTCGGCATTCGTTACGCTCGTGCAGAACGTTTTGAGAGACCTCGCCCTGTAAGAGAATCATGGAAAGGTGTTAAGGAGATGAAAACGTTTGGGAAAGTTTGTTGGCAGGATATGAGTTATACGCCTCTTAATCCTTTCAATCCACCAATCAAAGACATGGATGAAGATTGTTTAAACCTCAACGTGTATGTTCCTGCCGCCCCATGTGACAGCAAAAGAGCTGTGATGTTTTGGATTCATGGAGGTGGATTTTTAAGCAACTCAAACAGAATAGCTGATGGCAGTTATTTGGCAACATTAGGAGATGTTATTGTTGTTGCAATCAATTACCGGCTAGATATGTTGGGCTTTCTCCATCACAGACCAAGTGGTTTAAGAGGTAACTATGGACTTTTTGACCAGCTGGAAGCCTTAAAGTGGGTGAATCGAAACATTGCAGCGTAAGTTGTAACTCGAAATTTRAACCTACAGTATTAATATTCTTTCCAAAAGTAGAACTTTAATGTATCGAGTTTTGTTGTATATCACTGATTAGTGATTACTCATCTATATTTTATTTGATATGCAGTCACTCTGATCCCCTCTAGCRACCATAATCCTTAGCTTTAAAACAATAGAATATTTGGTTTGACGTACGTTCARGTTCAAGATAACGATTAAGAGCATTCTCTTGGATTTTTAGAAACGTTTTGGTACGATATCGGCCAAATTAGTGACGAGCTGAAGGCTTCATMCTCAGRAATACCTCTGTGATCATTTTATCATTATCTTAATATTGAAATAATTTTCTCATTATTACRTACCTTTCCTCTTATCGCTCACTTTTGTTTGTCTTCCTTTTTTCCCATGTAAACCTATAAGTTTTTGATATTTGTWTACTATTTTTCTTTTTTATCGCCTCGAAAGTCCCAGAATAACTGCCAGAGGGTTGATTCAACTGTAATACAAGTTTTATTTAGTGTGATATTTAATAAAYAAMCTGTTGTTATGCGATAGGKCAATTCGACCTCTAGAATTTTACTTCTCGTAACTCCATTTTGASAAGTTTTACACAATGTTTGGTCGAGCTGCACGAGTAGCTGTGTTCCCCAACACACCGTGATATTCTTGTCCCAGTTTTTAATACAAGTTATAGAATAAATCTGGAAAACGCAGAMTGTGGTGATCTGATTTCTCTTTTTTTGGGTTTCAGATTCGGAGGTGATCCAAATCGGGTGACAATATTTGGTAACTCTGCTGGGGGTTTTAGTGTGTCTTCTCTCTGTTTGTCACCATTGGCCCGCAGCCTTTTTAAATACGCGATTATGCAGTCCGGGGTAGGAAATTACCCATTGGGCTATAAATTCTATAAAAATGATACAACATTGTTCGAGTAAGTTGAAAGTTTGTGGCTTGGTCANAGGCTGTATTCGTTAAGAGATGATTCAATATGAGTCCATTCAAATCCTTATGTTGTACCAGTTGACAGAAGTCTCATTCACAATTGATGGCATGTTTAAAAGTTCTTTGTATTTTTCAGATTCTCCACATACCTTGCTTGACAAAGGAAACTTCACAAATCCCGAAAGTACTATTATAGGCGTGGCCAGCGATGATGGATCGTGTGTGACCAATGCCATACCGGGTATATAAGTATAAGAAATCGCACGACCTTGAGTACAATTTGGAATTAATAGTCACGAGTAATGTTTTGAAAGTTCTTCGTAATYGCACGAGCCCAATTAGTTAGAGAAATTTCAAAACACAACGAGAGACTATTAAAAAGTATTATTTTGATGAATATACTATATGAGTTTCTTTGTTAATTTCCTTGCGTAGTACAAATCTTAAATAATGGCTGATTCTTGTCATTTCGTTCTTCTTGCTTTTAATTGTTTATAGTCTCTATAACCAATCTCGTACCCAGCCAATCTGCTACTCAGAGCACGTGTTACTTTTGGTCTGCTACATAAGCTCTCGTTTCTTGTCACATACCAAAAGTAGCGCGAGCTTTGTGTACAAGATTGGTACCCAGCGCCCCTGCCCCTCTTGCTACGCAATCTCGACACTGTCTGATCATAATGGATGTCAAAAAAGCTTCCAATAAGATAGATTTATCATTTAAGATTTATAAATCCCTTTTCTGACTTCGAAGGCTTTCGTTAAGCCAATTTTCTTGAGTAAAATCAGTCAAATAAAGCCGTTAGATCGGKTTTCTACTACGCATGGGTGAAATAGCCTGATTCCGGCTTCCGGTATTCGTTATTCCAGAGCCGAGGTTCTTTGTCGAAGACCAAGTGGAGCTCTGGGTACGAGATTGGTCTATAGCATCAACGGCTGGTGATCAGCATTTCATGTTATTTATCTCTTTTCTTGCATTTTCTCGATTCTTATTCATCCTTTTTCTCAGTGTCTACTGACATTGCTTGTATTATTGTTTTAGAACTATCGAATCCTTATATCAACATTAAAAGTGACAGCATAACCAGAGAATTCTTTCTTGATGTTATCAATCCTCTATTACCTGTAGTTAGCCACTTGGCTAGTTCTAAACGTTTCCTCCCATTTTACAAAAAGTCTGTTATTCAAGAGTACACTCCGTGGTCCAATCTCAACAAAACACATCAAAACCGACGCATGATTCTTGACTTTTTGAAAGACAGCGTGTTTATCGCTCCATCAATTTATCACGCAAATGCATTTGTCAAAAACGGTGCAAAAGTGTTTTTCTATCAAGTGGACCATGGTATTGACATGTCGGATGGCTATTTTACACATCCACCGTTCTTAAAGGGTTATCATGAAACAGAGAAGTTTATGGTGTTTGGATTTCCATTGAAAGCCTCACATCCTCCACCAGCCGATGTTGCAATATCCAAAAAAGTCATAAAAATGTGGTCAAACTTTGCAAAAACTGGGTATGAATCAGTGTAATAATTTGAAAAATAGCCCGTCAATACAGAGAAAAATAGCTTCTCTTATACATACTGTTTGCCTTATTCCAACTCATCACTAACCATTGAATAAGTCAACTATGTTTTGTTCTGTTTGCAGAAATCCTTACCCGTATGATACACAGAGTGAAGASTCCTGGCCTGAATAYGATCTAAACTCGAAAAAATATTTGTCAATTGAACCCAATTTGAAAGTAAAAAGCAACCTGCGACCTCGTCAAATAGGATTTTGGAACAAATTTCTCCCTTTTTTGTATAAGACCRCCTACGGATCATGTGTTACCAACTTTACCAGGTCTAACATCAGCGATTCTGACAGCGATTTTGGCGCCGAGTTCGAAAGCGGGTCTGGCGGAGAGATTGTTGGCGAGGATTTTGAGGAGGAATCTGGTTACAATGGCTGAAGTCTATTCCTTTCCTAGGTCTATTCTAAGGGATCTTGTCAAAATATATCAAACAATAAAATGTTAATGAGAAACTTAAAGATCGTTTGCTTTGTTTTGTGGTAACAATGAAAACACAGGGTCAAGACCATTGTCATACTAGGAACCAGGATTTCAGAATTTATCTTATTTAAATTTCATGGAGAAAATAGGGAAATGAAGAAAGCAACAAGCACAACAGAAAAAAAAAACAAGAGGAAAAGATAAGAAATTAAAAAAGTTACAAGATTAGCAAACGAAAAAGGAGGCGAAAAAAACGTGACTTTTCTCGAAATTCTTGTTTAAGGCGTAAGTTGCGGTTAGAGATTTCGTCTCTTCCACGCTATCCCGAGTGAACATAAAACTTGTGAGGGGTAGCTATCCACTACAGCATACCTATAGCTACCCTCTTAGACCATCGTACTATGATTTCAGAAGTCGCATACGTTTTAGGAGAGCTTGTGTTTCAATATGGCATATAGATTATATAAATTTTATCCTTCGTAAAAAATCGATGCAGGACCTCACGACAACAACAAGTGCATCGGCCACGAATTCTCCTGGTAACAGTGTGCGATTGCCTAGTAGTAAAATTCAAGCCACTAATTTTTGTCGAGGACATTGTTTTTGCGAAATTGGAAAAGGCATTCTTCGTGGACAWATTTTTTCACCTTGTTGTTAAATGACTGTTTTTAAGTTATGATTATTTGTGCGTTAGCTTATATTTACAGGTCTTTAATTTCGTCGCGATTTGTAGACCAGTCACGAACATTTCTATTGGGTACTAAGCGTCCAACGTCAACACATTCAAAAACATCCATGTTTCAAAGACTTTTACTTTGAAGGAAAACCCGAAATTTTTCAAATCTTCAAACGTCTCAAAAGACTGCGAAAAAAAATTTTTAACAGGTGATAACTTTGTTGAATCAAGTGAAACTGAGCAGGGTGAATTCCACGTGGTTGATGTGTAGACGCCACATGCAGCTTTCTGTGACATGAGATCTTCAAATACCAGTTTTTGATGTGTTCTTGTGTGACATCATGGAACATTAGTTCTAATGTTAAATACAGACAGGGCGTGGAATGGTTTATGGTTGGTGTATTGTTGGTACAGGTACAAATATGATGCGATCCTGTTCAAATATGATTTAAATCTCACAATAGTCAGAAACGCAGGGTGCGTTATCAAGTGAAGAGATTCTGAACACAAGCCATTAA